CACACCACACACACACACACACACACACGCGTGCGCACGAGCGACCTCAAACCACGAGGAAGAAACAGAAAGACCAGCAGACAAACAGAAAGAGAAGGAACATGTAGCTATCAGCCCTTGAACACACAGACCACTACTCACACAGTTTAGAGTCCCACCCCTATATCCACATGAACATTCACAATCCAGATACACATCACCCAGAAACTCAGACACTCCCAGATTTATAAGCACATCCAAAACACAAATACACACAAATCATGAACACGAACTCTCCAAAATCCTGGGCACATACAATGCACAGAATATATACATTCCTGATTCATGGCCAGGGATTTAGCTCAGTGGTTCTGGTGCCTGCCTCGAAAGCGCAAGATCCTGAGTTCGATCGCTGGTACCAAAAAAAAAAACAAAACCAAAAACCACATACATTCCTGATTCACAGGGTCATACCCAACTTTCAGATACACAACCTCAAGTATGTACATATACAATGCATTTACACATGCACCTATTCACAAATCCAAGCATGCCCAGACTTCCATACCCTGAGACAGACACATTCAACACTAGATTCACAAATATAGATACAGTATATGACTTAGACCCACATGCTGTAATCACGAGCACACTCACAATCAGATTCCTACATTACAGACCAAAAGACTAGTGCCACAGAGCCTCATCTGTCAGCTGACATTGCCTCTGGCTTTAGCAGGCAGGTGGCGGGTTAGAGATTCCTGGCCTTTGAAGGGGACAGTCCTCTCTCATTGCCAGCAGCCTGGGAGGGTGGGCTCAGCACTCGGGGGAGGCAGACAGTGAGGGGGAAGTAAGAGAAAGCAGAAAAAAACTTTAGTGGGATATTCTTGTTGGGCAGTAGTGTGTGAGTAACGGGGGAAGCTTTTTGTGGTCTGGTGAGTTCCAGCTATGATAGTTTAACTATTAATACACTTAATCAAGGACAATTCACACAAAGATACACAACCACACACACACAAGGCTAGGATGGGACCAAGTGGTAGGGATAAGAGAGGGGAAAGGGGCGGAGCTTCTGCCTTGGACCTGCCTCCAGAGCAGGGGCAGTGATTCTGCCATCCCTAGAAAAGTAGGGATACACAGGTAGATGTGCAACACTTACATATCAGGCCAATGAATAAGTGAATTGCATGTAGGTAAGGGACCACACAAATAATTATAAGTGAGCCTCCCCTGTCCTTGGCCAGTTAAGTCTTGCTGCATCGCAACATGCTTGGGGGAATTAGTTCTGAATAAATGGTTACCCCGCTATACAAGGGACTCTAGGGAAGCAGACCTGGGTCTGGCTCACCTGTATTCCCCCATTCATCTACCCCATCCTGCACCCTCAAAGTCAGCTGACCTCAACCACACTCATATCCCTCTCTCCCCTCCTAGGGTGTGACCCCCCCCATTTCCAATAGATCCTCCCATGAATTAGGTGGTTGGTGTGTTCCTAAAGAAGGTGGGACATTTAGTTCCCAGAGACTTAGTTCTTATCCAGATGCAACCCTTCCCCCACACGCCTACTGGACTCAGTTTCACATTTGCCAAATGGGTAGAAGGCAGGCAAAGAGCTGGAAATAGGCAGCAAAAGTCGAGGGTCACACAGTGCGGGCCCTTGGAACACAGCCCTGTGTGGCCCTGGGCCCTGGACGCACAATCTTCCCCGTCCCTTCCCCCACCCCGCCCAGCCCGGCTGGGTGGACATTCCAGGCCTCACGTGATAAAGAGGAGGCCGCTGGCCCTCGGGTAAGTCAACAGCCTCTGTCGCAGGAGATAGGAGGCCCAGGCCAGGGTCACCTGCTGAGCCGGGAAAACAGCCCGACCCAAACACACACATAAATAAGGCGCCAACGGACAGCCAGCCAGCCAAGGGTCTGTCTTCTGCACAAGAACCTGTGCCCTCACCCTAGAAAAGGAGGGAGGGGCAAGAGTGAGGGGCAAGGCTGGTTAGGGGCTTCCCTGGGAGAGTCCCAGCTCCTGCCAGGACGGATGGGGGAGGGTCTACCAAGTTCCAGGGCCGACTGAGAACTCAAGAGGCCAACCTCTCTCAGCTGTTCCCACTCCTTCCCAGGGCAAAAATCAAACTGTCACCCGTCTCCCTCCTCTCCAAGGAGAGAGGACAATTTCCGTTGGGGGGGGGGG